GACTAGTGTTATATATCCTTAGTATCTGTTTGTTGTTTTGTTAGCTCTAAATGTCACTTTTTTGACAATGGTGTTTTTTTTTTTCTAATTTAGCTGTCTTTAACGGTCAGGTTTGGTCTTCCAGTCACTCGAGTTTAATTAAGAAATTTCTAAACTGAACGGAAAATTCCCTTGACAACAAGAAAATAATGATAAGTTTTCCTCAGGCGACCCAACTTCGGCCCCTCTGACTTCTGTTTTAAATTGTAGACATTGATCGCAACTTTTATGCGTAAAATTAGCATGAACCGTAACTTCGAGAACGTGAAATTGTTTTTTTGGTATAGACAGTCTTTCCGCGCAGCTTTTCCTATTTCTCTTCACATTTCTACAATGACTATGAATGTCAATTATTGATCGCTCTGCAACAATGTTAATCGTTCAGAAGTTAAAAATTAGGCTTTTTAAAGCACACAAAGCCATGCTCAATTCTATCACTTTCTACCTTGTATAAATAAAAATTATTAATCCCTCTGTAGACGATGTGCCGTTATTTCCTCAAACTGCTCATTTAACCAAACGTTTTGCTGCTATTGCTTACATGAAAGCGGTCGTTTCCAAACACCAATTTCATGTCAGTTTCCGACTTTTTTCAAGTACCTCAGTGATCTTCTTTTAGTTGGAAAGTAGTTATTTCAGGTTGCCAATAACGATACCTTGTTGTCACAGGTAAGTTAAATGAAGTCACCGAACAATGGACGACAACTAAGCGCCAATTCTATACCCGGCCATTTTACGTTTATAGCTGGATTCGGCCAACGTGTTTACGTCCTTGTTGCCACCCTATTCAGATTATGCGATGATTCATTTGCGAAGTGACAATTGTTCTGTCTGCAATCACCTGCGTGTGACAACGTGCACAATTGTAACCTCCCAAATGGATCATCACGTGGTCTAAATTGGGTGATAACACAATAGACGAAACTGTCTATTAGGTGACGTGTTTGCTCGAAATTTCTCTTTATTTCGGTAACGATCACTGTTTTCTTTAATTTGTTTTCTTTATACAGCAAGTTGGTTTAAGGTGGCTCAAAACAGTTTCTAGCACTTGGATTTTGGTTGGTCAATATAACCACTCTTTATCACTTGATGCTACAATCATGGTATCAAAAAAACTGCCCAATAATTGGTGAACACGTTGGTATCACTTTCGTGACACAATGAGTTACCATAGCAAAAGTATGAGCTGCTAAAAACACCCTTAATCACAGCTTTAGGGGCTTAAAATTCGAAAAACGGCAGGGTGAATTTTTTTAAATTTTCAAATTTTGATAAGCATGATAAGACGTAACTTTTGGCAAAGTTTTAAACAAATTCTGTACATAAGGTTAGCCGAGCTTAACTTAACTTTATTCAATTCGTTGCATACTCATAAATAGGATACCAAAGTGATAAAATAATAAGTCATAGCCGCCAGCAACTGGAGCAGAAATCAGGACGATGTCACAATTGATATTTAGCCCTACAAAAGATATTTGAAATTTAACGGTGCAAAGAACCCAACAATTCTCCGATATTTCTTTGTTACCGAAAGAACCCAGTTAAATGCAGCGCATGCGTAATAAGTCAAAAGGCCTATTTTTAGCGAACCGCTCATTAGGATTTGGCGAGAAATTATGTCCATCCAAAAATGAGGACTCCAAAAAATATGTTGAATAAAAGTAAGTCTGCAACATACTACAAGACTAAGTTTACATGATAATTTGATATATACTTCATTTTCGTTAACAGTAATAGCTGGTATATAATTCGATTTTAAGAAAACCTTAAATACAGGAGTACATTTTTTATAGTTAGTTCAGTTTTCCAAGGTCGTATACTGAACATGT